AAAGTCAAATACCTATTACGCGTCCATCTTGTACATCCTCAAACAATTTCATAGGTTTAGAACCCCAGCATAAATTGCATCGGGGATTCTCAGTTGAGTTCATTGTATGCAGAAGTGTTGTATTGAGCTGGTAAAGGTAAAATGACCAGTCTTTCCCATTTGTCAGTGCTGTCTGAGTTAGCAAGGGATAGGTCACATCATGGAATGTTGAAAAACCTGCAAGTGTAACAAATTAATTACATTGAGATTAATGCATCTTTAAGTAGCATGCCGATGAAGTGGAAAAAATTATTAAAACTGTACCTTGATAACAAGCCTGACCAAGGAGCCAAGAAAATGAGGATAAAATGGCAATGCTGTGTGCAGCCTCTAGATTATCATTTGGTCCAAAAGATCTGGAGTCCAGGAAGTTGGTGGAATGGAATGACATCATCCCAAATGAATGTTGTTCACCAGGCCAGAACCCTGTAAATATGATGAGGAAAAGTAGGGTAGTGTTAAAGAAGAGCAGAGCTAGTGTGGTTAGTTGTTCAAGTACCGTAAGTCATGCGTTTTAAAACAAACCTGGCACTGTAGTAGCACGACGATATTCCTTTTCAAGGTAAATTACAGGAGGTTCATAAGGTATATGAGGAATTCCAGCAGCTCGTGGATCACAATCAGTCAAGTTTTCAACTGGAGGAAGTGGATGTCTTGTCTGAACTTGTAAGATAGGTTTACCATAAAACTGAATAGGCTCATTAACAGGTTTATGAACTAAAGATGGATCTAGAAACTGTTTCTTCACATTTTTGTTTGTCATTTTGGTCCGCCTTTTTCTCTCTTCAATCTTTTCTAAAGATGGATTTATTCCGCCAAGAAACCAAAAAGCATCTATACGGGGGTCAGGAACTGCAGTTACCATATTGAGATGCTTAGCTCTGTCAATTGCTCCAGTAATTAAAACATGACTCAGATGTTTCACAAAACTTCTAGTACGTAGATCAGAAACTTCTGAATCAGACAAAGTTCCAGCAGTAGTGAAGTCCAAATCGTGTCGTCTCCTATTAATAAAAGAAAACTTAAGTTTGTAAATGTCCAATTTGAATTTCTTTTTCAAAAGAAGCCAAGCATAAGTAAAAGTAACTTACTGCATATCAATCCATTCAAAAAGTATGACATTTTCTACTTCAGATTTTAGCTCAGAGGCAAGCTCTGAAGCTTTACTGTCAAGTGAAGAATCTGAATAGAGCTGGTTAATATTATCACTCACTTCAACATGAGTTCGGGTAGAAAATTGGGCCCAAGGTAAGAAATTGTAGGGGACTGCATCATCACGAAGTATTACAGAGTTCCAACCATAATACTTTGGCATGTTCAGTTCAAACAGTTTTTCTTCTATTGTGTCATGACTTTTCAGCCAGTCGTGCCATACCTTTTTTCGACGCAATTTTTGAGCAAGAGGGGTTTCCTCAACTATAGGAGGATATTGGGGCTGGCTCACTGAGACAGCTGCAGACGATAACCTCTTTGAGCAGACAGTGGACTGAGGACGAACCCATTTCGCTGCTCCACAGCGGAAGCGAATCATCGACATTATTCTTCAGTAACACAAAACAATAGCGCCTGATTTACAGACGAGCAGTTAGTGGTGTTTCATCGAAATGTTCATAGATAACGTAAGATAAAGGAGGAAATCCAATCTACAGCGGTAAGACCATTTACAACTCGGAAGCGAGCATGGGGTGGGCGCAAACAAGTAAACGTTTTATTCACAGACGAAGGAGTCTCCACCACTTGACCTGCGTATAATTTGTCGTCTGCTGTGCTATCCAAACCAAAATATTAACGCAATACCTAATAATACTGAGATAACTATTATGCGTATATTGTCAAGCTCAGAAGTCCTAGAAGAGTTTGCTTAATAATCACCTCGTCAAATCAACTTTGGAAAGTATGTTGTGTTTGTTGTGTTACATTATTCGATAGTTTTCGTTGCTGCCTGCCTATGGAAGCTATAACCTACAGTTTGGATTTATTACATTACAGCCGACGAGTTCTCTCACATTATAGAAGAGAACAATTTTCTTGTAAACATGGAAGATAGAGCAGCCAAAGTACTATGTTTGTTGACTTTTATGGCTGGTTTTGCATTAGGCTACAAAGCAAAAGAATGGAGGATTATGTGGATCAAGAGACGAAGAGATCGTTTAGCTTCTCAGCTACGTGAAGCTCAAAAAGAATTGGAACTGCTTCAAAAGGCGCATTAACAATCAATAAAATAATTAATCTATTTTGTCCTATCAATACTACCATCAACCATCTATGTGTAATACTATCTGGTCCCCAAGCAATTTTCCCTCACAATTTAATGGCAATAAAAAAAATCATAGGGCCCAATAATGATAAAAAACAAGTAAAGCGACAACAGTATAAAGTTGGGCAACCTGTGAACTTAGTATTCCTGAAAGAGTTTTTCAATTTAAAAAATTTGTGACTTTATCTGTCGCTGCACAGACTCTAACATTGTGTCTAAAATAAAAGGTCAAATGCTTTTGTTGATTTGTTTCAACAAGACCAATGAGGACAAGAAGACATCTGGGGATCTAGTAAAAAAAGTTATGCAACACAGTAAAATCTCCATAGCAACTGGTCTGTAGCAATGGGTTGCTAGTAGCCCAGTAGCCCTTTCAAACTCTTCAGGCTCCTAAATTCCGCGTATGGACCGTGGAGCAACCCTCCGGCTCCTACTCCACCCTATAGGCACCAGCAAGCACCCACCCAAATCCCGATGCATCGACTTACAACTCTTTCGGCTGCCACATCCCACTCCTCCGTGCATACACTCGCAGCATGTCGGACACCCAGCGCGGGAAACCTCTATTAGGATTCATCATGGCCGAACTACGCGACTTGAACAACAACAATAACAACAGCAGCAGCAGTGGCTTCGTCAGTAGCCCCAGCCCCTCTCTGGACCTGGCGGAGCTGCTCGCCGCGGTGCAGGCCGCTATCAAGGCCGTGGCTGCCACCCTACGGTCATCGGGGCTTGTCAAGTGGTAGGGATGGGAAGGTGTTAGCTTTGCCAATGTTTCCAGGAGTTGTGTTTGCTGAATGTTGGGTTTCAGGCGCAGTTCTCGAGAGATCGCGGCCGAGATCTTCATCAACTACATCGCGTCGTCACATTCCGTGGCGCTGCTCGTGTGCGACGAGAAGGTGATCCCCGTGGAGGTGAGGGAGGGAAGGCCCACCGGGTGGCTGACTCACGCCGCGCACGCGCGTAGTTATACTGTACCGCATGCACTGGTGCGGGCGGGCTTGCCTATCCTCGCTGCCCACGACTCCTTGCGGCCCCGAGCGACTAGGCAACCCGCCCGCACGCGTGCATGCGGTACAGTATCACTACAAAAGTGCGCGGCGTGAATCAGCCACCCGGTACACCATGAATAACGTTTCAATATGGCAAAGACAATCGTTTTGCACTGGAGGTGGGGGAGGGGTGGGGGTTGCATAGGCGATACTTAAGATGTGCTGCACTCTCGGATTTTCGCCCCAACAGACGAGCGGCGACCGACGGGGGAAGTACGCGGTCTGTATAAGTCCGCTTGACTCGAAGCAGGACACGCCCGATCCACCGAGTGTCGCGGGGACCGTCTTCTCGGTGCATAGGTGCGTCTCCCGTGGCGCGGCCTCTACCGCTCAGATATGTGATTACGTGATTTGGTATTTTTAACTTAATTTCGCTCACGTCATTTCGCACGGCACACGCTAGGGATCGATCGACAACGTGAAACATCAGAAATGTGTCAATTTCAGTACCCTATTCTTTAGACAGTGCCCAGTGGCTGTCTCCTACCCGTAAACACGGTGGAGGTGGCACCGTGACCCGTAGGCAAGTCAGCTAAGTTGTCAGTCCGTAGGCAAGTCAGCTCAAGTTGTCAGTTATCAGTTTGTAGGCAAGTCAGCTCAAGTTGTCAGTTGTCAGTTTGTAGGCAAATCAGCTCAAGTTGTCAGTTTTTCATTTGTATCGACCGAAAACCGACTTTTCTTATTATCCTTGTTGGTCGCACGGGATCGCAGGTACCTGGAGCAACACGGCCGTAGCTCGGGGGCAGGCGGGCGACCCAGCCTGCGGTCTGTGCTGCAGCCGGGAAAGAACCTGGTAGCCGCTGGATACGCGCTGTACGCCTCCAGCACGCTTCTTGTCTTGACCACGGGGCCCGGCGTCCACCTGTTCGTCCTCGACCCCGTGCTGGGGGAGTTCATCCTCACGGCGCCCAACCTGACCATCCCCGGGCGCGGGCGCATCTACAGTGTGGACGAGGGCCTCACCTACGAGTGGGGGGATCCGGTCGTCGAGTACGTCGAGAGTAAGAAGGACCCAAAGGCGAGTACATCTACTCCCGCACACGCGCGCGCCGCAGCCTGCGAGCCGGCAGGTAGACTCGCCCGTCGCGCATGCCTGCCGGGCACGCTGCCCACCCGGCAGGGGCCCGGCTCCGGGCGCACTTGAGCTCTCGTCGCTAGCGACCGTGCCGTGCTCGCAGCTGGGCGTCACATACGGCTCGCATCACATGGGCTGCTCCGTCGCGGACGTCCACACCGTGCTGAGGAACGGCGGCATCTACCTGTCACCGCAGGCACGCTCGCACCCTAACGGCAAGGTGCGTGGGGCCAGGCGGGCAACACTCGCAACACTAGTGGGTTATACGAAGGCGTCACATTCGCATCATGAGTAGGAGGACTTACTTTGGAGCCAACGTCGTGACGCGTGACGGCCCATGCACCTACAGCTGCGCCTGGTGCTGGAGGCCGCGCCGCTGGCCCACCTGGTGTGCCGGGCCGGCGGGCTGGCCACCGACGGCCACGTCTCCCTCACAGACTGTCAGCCCGAGGGCCTCGCGCACCGCACCGCCGCCTTCATGGGCTCCCGGGAGGACGTCCGCGACGTGCTGTCCATGTTCCGGAGGAGCAGCGCGCTGTACTCGGCCCGGCCCAGCGGACTGCGCGCCGGAGGCCCCGGCGGCTACGACACCCTCACGCCCTCGCCCTCCAGCGCCACCACTAGCACCAGCCAGCAGGCGCAGGTGCATGGAGGGAGGCGACATCTCATGGAGGCGAGTTAGGAGTGAGGACAGGTAATAGGCCAATAACGGCAAACAATCCTCGTTCCATTGCAGAGTTCGAAGGATCAGCGTTCGTCCTCCAAGCAGGACAGGGCTGCCGTGGCTGGGGCTGGGCTGACGGCCTCCATGGCGGCGCTGTCTGCCACGATCGTCGCCCTGGGCAGGCCGCCTTCCTCCAGGCCAACGTCTGCCGTGTACCCGTCCAGCACCGGCTCGGTCCTGGGGCTCGTGCCGTCAGGTACCGTCAGGTGGGTGCGTTATTTCGACACGTGCGGCCGAAAGAGACGTGACGAGACCATCCCGTCCACCACGCAGTGCCGCGGCCGGCGTCGGCAGTCTCCGCACCGGCATCGTCCACCTCCGGCGCCGTCCACCACGGCCTGCAGAAGGCCGCGTCGCCCAGCAGCCTGCCGTACTCCCTCCCGCACACCATATCGGGCTCAGCCAAGAAAGTCCCTTAGCCCCGCGCGCCGGCCGCACCAAAGCCACATCATGCCCTCCGAAAATAAACTCGCACAACTGTAGGTGAACTTGCTGCCTTGGCCCATGGTGGCCGCGGCCGCGGCCGGCTGCCTTCTCTGATGAAAGGACCTCTTCGGGTCGGGTGGCCGGCGGCCGGGTCGGCAGCCCGGACCGCGGCAGGCTCTCCACGTCGCGCCACCGCCAGCCCTTGTGTAACCAGCCTCATGGTGTAACGCTCTCTGAGCCGATCGCCGTGAATGCGACGCGAAGTCGAGGGACCGCGTGACGTTCGCCACGCGCACTTAGTGCACGTCGGCCCCTCTGTGCACCAGCTCGGCGTCCTGCAGGACCTTCCCCCCGCCCTCCCCTCCCCCGCGCGGGTGCGGCGGCGGTGGACTGCGCGATTTCTCTCTCCCGGGTTCCCCGACCGCGATGGCCGGGCCACACCACGGTGGCGGCGAGGTGGCTTGTTTGTTTGCTATCGAATTCCAAGGCGCGGCGGCTCGACGCGACCCGTTTAGCGGCGATGCAGCGCTGCAGCGAGGCAGGGCGGTGGTCCAGCCGCTGGCCCTCTTGTGCTGCCCGCGACCTCGTGCTGCAGGCAGCTGCCGGCGGTAGGGGGTCTCCGGGCCCGTGCCAAATCCAGGGCCGGGCCTGTCACACGCCGACACCCCGCCCCGTTCACTCCCGGCCGAGACGAGCCGCGACCGGCCGCGACGTGGCGACTCGAGTTTCGTGGACGCGGACACGGAGGGCCGGAGCAGCTATCAAGTTGGCCTCACAGGTCCCCCACTCGGCCTTCAACGTCCTTGCGGGAGAAATCGAGCATACACCCGGAGGAAGGCGGGGCGGGGCTTGGCGGGGACGGAGACGAGACGAGTTTCCAGGTGGATGCAGGTAGAAAGGATGCAGTATAGCCAAGACGCGCGTGCCTCTCCAACTTCCGACTCGCAGCATACTGCCAACACCTACTAACACTGGCCAACAGTTATCGCGAAACCAGGAGCAAGAGGGCGATCGGATTTTTCAGCTCAACTTCTGATGCCGATCTCGGATACAGTCCCAAAAATTGTCGTGTTTTGTATTCAGAGAGGCAAACAAAACACTAAAATAGTGACTCTTTTCGGGACAGTGTCCGAGATCGGCACCGATCGATAGTCGAACAATCAGACTATTCTCCAGTGAGATAGAAGAACACAATACCCAAGGAAAATAACAAATTTAGATTAAAGAAATGAGGAAAAGGAAATTGCACGACGGCCCTGTGGTGGGAGGAGGTGAGGGGTGTGGCGGTAGCGCGGGCGTGTCGATGCCTCATAAGGATATGTCAAGAATAAACGAGAGTCGAGTCGACCTCGATACGGTGCGGGTGCGTCCAGCGTGCGTTGAACACCAGGCGCGGTAAACTACTGTTTTATAATTCACATTATTTTAGTTTTGCGTGCTTACGTCGTGCGATGTGTCGCGGGCGCGCCTGCGCGGCCTCCGGAGTGGAGACGCTGGAGAAAGGCCCGAGCTAAGGACAATTTTGCCAGCCATTATTGTGTTCTCTGTATTTTCAAGATATGTGGATAGTTGGCAAACTTTATTACCCCGAAATGAGCAACTATTTTGATGCTGTTCAGGCAGGCAGGTTGCAGAGACGCAAGGTCCGCCGCGGCCGATATGCTGGTCCGGGCCGAGCCGAGCTGAGCCGAGCCAGGCAGCGAGCCAGGCAGGACACACTTGCTGTGGAGTACCGTTGGGTGTTAGACCTCATCAGCGTGGAGCCGGGGGCCCGGGCCGCGCGGAGCCGCCGGGTTAGAGGCGAAGCAGACGAGCCGAATGCAGGTCCACGCCGCGCCCCGCAGCCCCGCCGCTCCGCCCCGGAGAAAGTGATATCATTCGGCGCGGCCTGACCTGCGAGGCCGGTGCGGCAAGCCATCTGCTGGCCCGGGCCCGAGCCCCGGCCCCGCGGACCGCTGCGGTGCTCGGCTCGGCGCGTGATTTCCTATATTACAACGCTCGATGGCGCGGTGCTTTGCATGCCTGGATGCGGGAGCCGGCGGGAGCGCCCCAGTCACGGTACGCCCCGCGTCACGCCGCGCGTCACGCCCACCCCAGCCTCTTCGATCATTCGGATCGGTTTGCTTTCTCCTGCGTGGCGCCGAGCTGCGCGGCGGCGCGGCGAGTGCCCCGGGTCAAGCCGCTACCTCTTCATTAGGGAAATGACATCATTACCATGCCCCGGGCTAGGCCCCCTCCCGCCCGGAGCACGACAGCGTCGTGCAGCGGGGCCGTGCACAAATGCGCACGCCCCTGCAGATCGTGCGCGGGCTCGGCACGGCTGCCGTGCGGCGCCGCGCTCTCGTGCATAGTTTTACGTCGTGGCGCCAAGGCGCGGCGAGGTGACTCAAATGCGAGAGGCGAATGAGAGAGCCGCGGGTCGACGGGGCGGGAGCGTGTGTGCGCTGGTCCTGCCGAGTGAGAGAGAGATTCTTGGTGGGCCTCCCGCATCAGCAGTCACCCCGGGGCCCGGGTTGGGCACGCTACTTTCAAAATGTAACGATTAACGCTATCGTTACTTCGGACGAAAAGTAATCGCTATCGCTATCGTTACTGACCGTCAGAATTGTAACGCGCTATCGCTACTCGTAACGTGTAGCGGCGCTATCGCTACTTTTAGTTTAAGCCGAGGGGGCAATAACTACCTTT